GAGAGACAAATAAAACTCAACAACCCTTGGATAAAAAAGACAGACTGAAAAGTAGTCTCTTGACCTGACACCTGGAGGTAAATAAAGATGTGAGCCCCAGACACCCCCACACCCCGGCCCCAGGCAAGGAGTTCCAGACCATCTCTGAAAAGGCCCTCCCTTGGATGCCGGCCCTTGCACCACAGACGGTCAAGGGACACAGAGCAGAGTCCCTGTTGATGCTCATAGGTTTCTCTTGGATGGATGTGATCTTTTCAAATGCCAAACGATTTTTTTGACTTTCAAACCAGCACTTTGAATTGAGCGGCGAATCCAGCTAGAAACCCATGGAGATCGTGTGAGACTGGCCGGATGTAGCAAGAGGAGCAAGACCCTGTTGCTGTTCTGTGCCAGCCAGAGTGTCCGTTCAGGGCTCCTGGCCATGGCAGCCGCTTGGCTGTCCTGGAGCAGCGTCTGGTGCAGAAACGTCCCCAGGCTGTCGGGCTCATTCTTCAGCGGCAGCGCTATGCATCTGAAACAGGCTTTACGCCTGATCCCAGATCATCTGAATCACTGCCCCCAAAGTACCTCTGTTTTGTCACCTTCAGCTTCAGCTTGTGGGCCTCTGCTGCTCTATGTCTGGTTACCTTTGAAGACCGTTGGGGATCTCCAGTTAGTGCAGAGCTCCGCAGCAAGGTTGCTGATGGGCGTAGTGTGTTCCCATGTACAAACGCTGATGCAGTTTTGGGCATGTTTCCAAACGTTGGTGTTCACCTTAAAGGCATTTTCATAGGTCATCTTCTATATAAAACTTATTCATGCATTAAGACCTTCATCTGGGTCCCAGGGCTATTTTTGGGCAGGAACGCACAGGAACGGAGTTCCGGCTGGCTCCCGAGTTGGCCACGCCCAGCAGGAACTCATTAGCATAATAGGCCACACCCAACAGCAGAAAGTCATTAGGATTGGCTACATTAGGGGTGTGTGGCCTAACATGCAAAGGGTTCCTGCTACAAAAAAAGCCCTGGGTTTTGACAGCAAATAAGGTAAACAGAATAAGAAGCAAAAGGTGGGTGTGGCTGGATGACCAGACTTCTGGTAACATGGGGTGTGTTACCTGCCCTGTCAGGGTTGTGGCCTAATATGCTAATGAGTTTCTGCTGTTGGGTGTGGCATATTATGCTAATGAGTTCCTGCTGGGCTTTTTCTACAAAAAAAGCCCTGCTGGGTCCCATTTATGTGTGTTTCCCCTCATCGTCCCCCGTCCCCCCCGCCCCGCCCCCCCGCCTTCACAATGGCGAAGTGGATGGCTGTGAAGGACAGGACCATTTCTGTATCGGCACCCTGTCCCTGGACCTTTTCTCCTCTGCTGCTTGCCTGGTACTGCTTTTAAGTTTTAAGCTAGAAGTGAACATGTTCTTGAGCATTTCATAATTTAGTTTTTGAATGTTTTGTTTTCCAGCTGGCCTTCTTTGTTTTTGTTTTGTTTTAAACTGCTGTTCTGTTTCACGGTCTTGGGATTTGTAACGGCTGCTGTGTATTTCAGATTAATTCATCTCCATAGCTGCTGCTCAGCAAAGCTGTCTTAATATAAATTTTACTTCTGACTTTTCCAGTACTGTCCGCCCCCCGTCCCCCCCCCCCATGGCAGAACATTTTTTTAAAACAAGTTCACCACTTTGAAAAGCCCATGGCTGAAAGGTGGTAGAGAAATAGTTCCAATCAATCAGTGCTAGGGCTGAGTTCAACCCTGTATTTAAAAATATGCACAGCCAATAAAGAAGAAGAAGAAGAGATGGGATTTATACCGTGCCCTTCACTCAGAGTCTCAGAGCGGTTTATAATCTCCTTTCCCTTCCCTTCCCCACAACAGACACCCTGTGAGCAGTGTTCCCTCTAAGCTGAGTTAGTGTGAGCTAGCTCACAGTTTTTTAGCCTCCAGCTCACACATATTTGTCTCAGCTCAGGAAAGGTGGCTCCAGAGCAAACTAAGCTATGCAGTAGCCAAATCGCTGGCTCACAACTTTAATGCCAGTAGCTCACAAAGAAGAATTCTTGCTCACAAGACTCCACAGCTTAGAGGGAACATTGCCTGTGAGGTAGGCGGGGCTGAGAGAGCTCTCTCGAGAACTGCCCTTGAGAGAACAGCTCTGAAAGAACTTGTGACTGACCCAAGGTCACACCCACAGCTGCATGTGGAGGAGTGGGGGAATCAAACCTGGTTCTCCAGATTAGAGTCCGCGCACTTAACCACTACACCAAACTGGCTCCACCTGGCCCTGCCCACACTCTAAAAACACTTATCAAGAACCAGGAAAGGTGTCAGCGTGTGCCATGGCACTCATGGGCACCCTGTTGGAGACCCCTTGTTCTAAAGAGTTGACAAATGAACTCTACAAGTCGTAAAATGAGCAGGGGCACTACAGAGGAGGGTACATCCCTCCCACAGGTGAAGAGCTGCTTCCAAGTGCTTACCCAGTTGTTGCACGGGCAGCTGGAGTGATAGTGACACAGAGATATCTAGGCGTTTTCTCCCTCTTGTTCAAATGTGTTGTAACCTCAGTGCGTGCCCACACCCTCTTCCATCTGTCTTTGCGCAGAATACTTTGAATACTTTGCTCCTGACTTTACCCTTCACCCTGATGTCAGCACTAGAATTGAAAATCAGAACTCGAGGCAGGTAAGTAGCTCGGCCGTTTCTAGTCCTCGGAACAGCATTTTCCTTACGTCTGGCCCGTTTCAGAAGATGCGCCCTTGGGACTTCTGTTTCCCCATGTTCCAAGGAGAACCCTGGCGCTGGTGGTATTTGGGCTGGCCAGAGAGGGTTCCTAGCAGTAACTTGGTAAAATTTTTCATGTTGGTTGACCAATGTAAGATAGTTTGGCTGATTCTTCTGCCCCTGCCCCCTGACCAGTACTTAGATCAAATCCGGCAGACTATCTTTGAGAACCTGAAGATGCTGAACCATGCCCCGAGCGTCCAGATCCATGATGTCCCTTCTGATCTGCTGAGCTACGACCGCACAGATGAGCCTGATCCAGAAGAGCGGGGCTCGGAGGAGAACTATAGCAGGCACGTCGCTCCATTCCTTAAGAATGAAAACCACCCAATAAGAGCAGCCCCGGCAGGCGCCTCCCGGCATCTCAATTGCATCGGCAGAGTTTCTGCCGCAGTTTCTCCTGGGCAGGCTTCCTGTTGGTGCTCCAGGATGCATCTTGGTTCCCTTTGTTGCCGCTTCATTCTTGTGCTCTTCTGTCTTGCAGGCCAGAGGCTTCCAACGAGTTCTACGACGGTGACCATGATAACGATAAAGAGAGTGATGTGGAGATATGAGTCCTGAATCGCGGGAGTTTTGGGACTGCGTCAAGTTCCCTGCCTGGATGCGAATGCTTGAAGGGAGCAGCGGCTCTGCCCCTCCTTCCTGCTGGTCGCTTGAAGTGATGGCAGCAGCATTGTTGAAGCATGCGAGGACTTGTGGACAAAAGGCAGCAAGATCCCCTCCCCACCCTTCACAGCCCCGATTTCCCATGGGATTGTGCCTCTGCCACTGCTTGGGGGAACAGAAATTCATCAGAATTCTACGGCCATGGCTGCTCTGTGATCAGCTTCAGGCCTTGTTGTGCCATGACATCCTCCCTCTGTGTGGATGTTTCAAGGAGGATATCTCTGTCTTCAGCAGTTGTCTTTTATCGTGGTGCAGGCTTTTCATGTATGCATGCTTCGGCTGAGGCAGCACACCCATAACTCACAGAAAGCTACAGCGAAGGTTGTTTTCCAGCCAGGTTTCCAGCCAGTGAGTTCTCTGTTGGAGTAACTCATGCCAAAAGAGACTCAGGATATTTGGGGTAATAATCAGCTGGGCCTTAGTGAATATAGGAGGGGTTAATTTGGGGTCCAGTCCAAGAGTGCAGGCTTATTCAACGCATAGCTTTCATCCCGGATGCCCTTTCTTACAGTTTTCCCTCCCCCTGCCACAAAACAACTCAGACGTGGAGAAATATTTATCCAGATGGGTATTGGAGGACGGGGAGCAAACCAGGCTAGGATAAGATATTTCCCCCCCTCTTTTAATCTTTATGCATTGTCACATTGTAGACCTGGGTGTCAGCCTGGTACCCAAACCCATTATCGATAGAGGATTTAGTTCTGCATGGGTAGCAGGCTTTCATGCCTTGCACACGCCGTAGCTTCTACCGGTAACTCCAATGGCACTCCAGTGCATCCACAAGAGCAGTCCATTCATCTTTACTTCAGTCAAGGGCAGGTCGTGACAGAAAGCACAACGGGTCGTGGGGACGCTGGCTCCGCTGTGTTTGTTCTCCTGTTCCGTACAGTCGCACTTCTCCCATCTGTGAATTTCTTCAACAGAGGGGCAAGTTACTTCCACGTCTGGGGTGTATGGCGAGTCCCACTTTCACAACATGGCCTTTGAGTGAGAGCCTGGAATATCTCCCTGGGTGAATGGCAAAGGGAAACCAGCCCCCCCCCCCCCTTTCAACAGTCTGTGGAGCTAACATGGGTCTAATTTTCAGCCTTTCATTGGCCATGCACTGTGTGCGCCGCCGATGCCTGTCCATCTGGGTTGTGAGGGTGTCATTGACGTTGCCGTGGCAGAACATCAGATTACCTTTTGTTCCTTGTACTTGTATTTTTACCAGTGTTTCAGAATATTAAACCACAGGATGGTATTTTTTTTTCTTACCTGCCTGGAGTCGCCTTCTTTCCCCATCCTCCCCTTTGGCTGAAGAGGTGATGCTCAGTATAGCAGTCCTTGAATACTGAAACTATGCTTTGATCACTCCATTGCCTCTTCTGTGGAGATGTGCTCATTTGTTCTGTACAAGCCACGTTGGTCCCTCTGTAATTCTTGTGGTTCTCAGCACCCTACGCTTAGTCTAAAAAGAAAATTCCTAAATAAAAAGATCAGGAAAACCCCTACAAGAATATTACTCTGTTAATGCATAGCTACAGTGATGAATTACCCAAGCGTGGAGACAGGGCTGCTAGCATTGGCTGGCAATTCAAAGGGCTTCGATTATAGTCTCCAGAACCAGGCGGACCAGTTATAAATTTCAGATGAAGGTAGGTGAATCTAATCTAATGCTGGAGCGATATTTCCGTGTATGCCTTGGGGAGCCAGTATATATGCTCCATAGGAGACCTGAGTGTGACCCATTTCCAGGGGTCATTTCCTGCAGGAGCTGAGATCCGGCAGTAAAGAGCCCAGGGGGCGGGCACATGCAATAAGCCCCGCCCCCTGCTCCCAGCAGCCCTCAGACAGAGCAAGAAGCAGCCAGGTGAGTTGCAGAGGGGCCCCCCGGCCCCCCGGTCCAAAACAGTCTAGTGGCACTGTAACGATTTCATGTTTAACTGTGTGTGTGACTTTAAAAGTTTGGATGCATGGCTGTATGATAGTCTAGAGTAGTGGAAACAAGCAAGTGGTGTGATTGGTGAGTGACAGAGAGGGGGAGGGGTTTTGGAAATGATTCTGTGTGGATGAGCAGATATGTCAGTCAAGAGGGTCAGTTAGAGATGACAGTTGATGAAGAGAAAAAGTTCAGTTAAGCTATGTATGAGAGTTGAAGGAGAGGCTTCCCTGTGTGGGTTGTTAAGTTCTATGTCTTAGAGTTGAATAAGACAATTGATAAGTTTAGTTCATTCTGAAGTCTGAAGGAGAGACAGTCGTGTGTGTTATGAAAAGTTGAAGTATAAAGAAACAGTAACCGTGTATGGCCTAAAGGGAAAAAAGTGTTACAAAGTTGCATGCCCAGATCCCTGACAGTGGGAGAGAAAAGTGTGTGAAATATCAATAAATCTACTTTTAGTTAAGATACCAGTTCTGAAAGAAATTCTTCCCAGGAAACATATAGACCCTCGTGAACGCCTAAACCCTCGACTTACCTACCCAGTGACAGAAATATTATATTATAGAGGTTTGGAAAGCCTTAAATTTCCTGGTGGCAGCCGGAATACCCGGTAAAATAAAATAAAAGGAACACTTTTAAAGTAAAACCAGACCTCCCCAGTTAAGGGGTCGTCACAGGCACCTTTAAGACCAAGTTTTATTCAGTACAAGCTCTCCCTCCTCTGCGAGGACAGATCTGCACGTCCCACCCCCCCCGCCTCCAATAGCTAGCAATACAAAACAGTCCAGTGGAGCCTGAGCGGTGGGTGTTGCCTTCTGACACACTTCCGGTGATGCCAGGGGGTGTGGCCTATGCAAATAAGTTGTGCTAATGAGCTCCTGCACCTCTTTCTCTACAAAATGACCCCTGCGTCATTTCTATCCTTCTTCCCCAGGATCATTCATTTTCAAGAATCCATCAAAGCCAAACCCCTCTAAATCCCAAGTCATAATCCATTGTCAATTCTTCTCCCTCTGCCCCTCCCCCAACACATATGGAGCCATCAATGGCGTTGGTGGATACGCACGACACTGTCTCTTGAAATGCCACTCAAACATTGATTTCCATAATCCTGATCCGTTCTCCCCCATTGGCTGTTGGCTGGGATTCAAAGAACTCCATGTGTGCTCTGGGGACTTCATGGATTGTTGCTCCCGCCTACAGCTCCTCATGCTCTGCCTGCAGCTGCCCCGTAAGGTTAACTGATTCTCAGAAAGGATAAGGGGGTCTGTCTGGAGGTAAAAGGTAGCCCAAGAAAGCAAACATGCCTTTATTTGTGAGCTTCCATACCGAGTAGTTAGTATTTTGCAGATCTAGCACAGAATCAGTTTTTTTAAAGCAACATTCTAAATGTTAAGATCGAAAAATGTGTGGGCAACATCTTGTGGAAGTTGCAGAGCCAAAATGTAGGAAGCTTCCTTGGGTTGAGTCACACACCATTGGTCTGTGTAGCCCATGTGGCACCTTAAAGATGGACGGTTTTGTTTCCAACACAAGCAGCCATTGGCTGGAGCCCTCTTGTTGGATGGGGTCTAGTCTGCCAGACTTTATGCTGGAATAAAATGTTCCTCTGGTGCCGTTAGACTCATGTTTATTGTGCTGCCCCAGAATAACACAAATGTCTCTCTGGAAATATAGTTCCTGTTATTTCTGTTGATTAGCAGTAGCTCCCAAAGGCTCAGGCCAAGACCTTGCCCTGTTTACTGAAGATTGTGGTGATTGAACTTGGGACTTCACACAGGCAGTGCTTTTGTGTGTGTGTGTTGGGGGGGGACGTTCTGCAGGCAGGGCCTGTGCATGTATATGCGTGTGTGTGTGTATTTCATAGGATTTCCAGTGGCCAGAGCTATTTCTTTTAGCCCAGTGAGTGCTCCCTTCTCATTTGGTGGCCAAAGTATTTGAGCTTCAGCTTCAGTATCTGTCCTTCCAGGGAACAGTCAGGGCTGATTTCTTTTTGGATTGACTGATTTGATCTTCTTGCAGTCCAAGGGACTCTCAAGAGTCTTCTCCAGCACCATAGTTCAAAAGAATCTATTCTTCGACGCTCGGCCTTCCTTATAGTCCAACTCTCGCAGCCATACATGACTACTGGGAATACCATTGCTTTGACCATGCGGAATTTTGTTGGCAGGGTGATGTCTCTACTTTTTATCATGCTGTTTAGGTTTGCCATCGCTTTCCTCCCAAGGAGCAGGTGTCTTTTAATTTCATACTTTATTTTCAGACTTTATTCATACACATAATTTAGCCACAGAATGTAACTTTCCATAGTGCAGAATTCTTGGTTGTGTGAAGTGCGCATAATGGTATATCAAAACCAAATTCTCCTAGACGGCACGCAACAAGCCTGAACTCTGTTGTCACATGCACATATACAGCTGTTTCCCTGACTGTTTCAATGCATCACTTGAAGGTGTGTCCTTAGAAGCCAAGTTTAAAAATGTCTTTTTCAGGTTCACTTCCTTCAGGTCTTTAGAAAGACGGTAAAAACTGTTGTGGCTCCAAACGCACCTTGCTTCTGTCGCAGAAACGTGGTGGTGGATCCGGTGATTAGATGATTTCTAGCTGATGGTTAGAAATTAATTGATATTTCTAGAGCAAGTGAGTTAGCTGAAGGTGCATGCTCTGTGGCTTTGGATTTATTTTATTAAAATATTCTTATCCAGCTCAGTTTACAAAGGACACCCAACTCAGCTGGTAAATAGAACATTCCTACCAAGAATAACAGTCAATCTAAAAAACTGAAAGAAAACACTTTCAAATGCCAAAAGCACTAGAAGTACTGAATGCATCCATCTTGAAGGTGAGGAAAAATTAGACGATAAACCATAGGGTGCGTTCAGATGGGGCGTTTCTGCCGGCATAAACTGTACCGGTTGGAACCGGTGCAGTTTATGCCGGCAGAAACGCGATCACACTTACCCTCCCTCACAGCAGAACCCATCGCAGTACGCCCATCCACACTCGTCTTCGGTTTGTTTGTTTTTTACTTAGTTTGCGCATGCGCATAGGCAGCCATCCATAGAATGGTGATCTTCGCGCATGCGCAAAAAACCCTGTTGTACATTTAAACTTTAAAGGTAAGGACTTACCTTTAAAGTTTAAAGAGCACAGTAGCCTCCTGGAGGTCCCGGACGCCTCCGAAACGCTACAGTAAGGCCCTTTTCTTTTCTTTTTTATACAAACGGCAGGGCGAAGCTTCGCCCAAGCGCATATTGCCGTCCTTTAAAAAAAATGGCGGGCGAAAATCGGAAGCCTCAGGCTTCCAAACGGAAGTAGCTGTGCAACGGTGGAGAGCGATCAGACGGCGAGGGACATCGTTTACAACCGTTGCACTCAGGATACCACCACTTGGGGACCTAGTGGCAGAGTGCAACGGTGTAAAGGGCTTTACACCGGTTAGGGACAGGAGGCAGATGTTCGCTGTCTGAACGCCGGTAAGTACAACTATTGCAACCGGCACCTATACCGATGTAAAGCCCCCGTCTGAACGCATCCATAGTGTCTAAAAGTAAGCGGAGAAGGGGATCCACTAACCTTCTAAAGCTAAAGCATTCTGTTCTCCTGCAAAGGCACTGTGCTCACTTGTAAGGGGGCAGGTGCTCTCCGGTAGAAGAAAACCGTCCTTGAAGGTCCTTGTGCCAAACCGTTGAGAACTTTAGGGGACTATACCAGCCAAGGAGATGTTGCTGAAGATGATGACATGCTACTTTTAGAAGTGCTGCTACTGTGGTTTGATAAATGGGCCTCTCCTGGTGTCTCTCAGTTTCTTGCTTGAACCTTTTTTTTCCAGGGGGGTTGTATTTTTTGGTATATTTTTATATGTGCGTGTGAGTGTGTGTGCACCTGGAAGTCATGGTGACATCTGGTGACTGACCCCTACTGGGGGCCTGGAGGATATTCAGAGAGGTGGCTGAGTAAAGCCTGCCCCCGCCTCCCGCCTCTGGTATTCCAAGGAGGTCTCCCATCCAAGTACTTGCCAGAGTCGACCCTGCTTAGCTTCCGAGATCTGACGAGATCGGGCTGGCCTTGGCTATCCAGGTCAGGGCTTGCGTGAACCTTTTGACTTGTTTCCAACCACACAATTCCCCCTCTGGAATGACATTTTTACAGAAGGGGAAGGTGATCTCTGCAGATATTCTACTGCAGATCTCCTCTTGTCCCAATACACTATTCCTGAGAGTTTGCTGAGCCCTAAGACCAGTTAGAAGTTGACAACTGTGGTGGGGCCAGCTGGGAGACCAACGTCTTCGACTAGGCAACTGATTTGAAAGATGCACTTTTGAGACGCTCCAGGTTTGCCTGTCGTGACTTGATTCTGCTTTACACACAAGCATTTCCATATGGGTGCTTCCCTGTGCTCAGTGGGGATATTGGTGAATAAGCCCTTCTCAGCACTTACTGCAACATGCGGCAAGTCTCCAGTATTATCTTCTTGCCAAGGAAACAGACCCCATAGCAGCTGCTCAGGGAATTTTCCCTTGGTCAGTGAAATGGGGAGCTGTCCAAATATTGTTCTGCTGTTT